ACAATTAGCATGGCTTTTGGATTCCAGTTCATTTTACTGTTGCCACAGTTGGCAAACCCATAATTAGTTACAGAACCTTAAAGTTGAAGAGGGATTATTATAACAGCTCTATGGTTTAGTGTTTAATTTTCTAAAATTATATTTGGTGCAAACTTTCACCTGTTTTGCTGTTCACACAGCTCTGAATTTGTTGACAGCCACAGTGTTGATCTGAATTAACTTTGAAGGTTCCCCTGAAATACACATTTAGCAGAACACAGACATTGCACAGTAAGACTCTTTCTTTCTAATATGATGTTTATTCAGGTCTTCCGTATTTATTTGAGTCATGGATTTAGGTTATGAGCATACATACGCTATATATTATATCATATTTGCGAATTTAGATTTTGTATAACATTCCATCTAGCAAATTAGGACAGCCGATGGCAAAGCAATTAAAATGCATGTAAAAAACTGATTCATGTTATTATTACAAAAACCTTTATTTTAGATAAATGTTAGATTATCTGCAAGGAGATTAAACACTACCAGAATAAATGATACTATTTTACATAGCTTCATAAAGTTTTTCTACATTATGTATATATTACATATTTTGACCTTTAGTGATTAATTTTTAACTTATTTTGAACCGATCTTTGACAGTCTTTATTATATTCACATTCAACATCACATAACAATTATATGTTAATTTATAATGAATATAACAGAGAAAGCGTGTGGTATTGTGTCCTTCTTAGTTTCTTGTTGCTTATCCTGCCCAAAGGTGCGAATGACGAATGGCGTATAGTGGGCGATGCCCTGGCACAGGGCCCCCGGGAAAGCAGCGGGCGCCCTGTGATGGCTGGTAACAGACACATCATCCTGGGATGAGAATCCAAACTGCTTAGGGCAAACCTGCCACAAGACACACAAGGCCCTGCAGCCCAAGTGCAGCGAGCCTCTGCTTACTGGGCTGGTCACACAGACTGCGGCACAGTCCCTCCAAGCAGTTTGCTAATATGCAGCTATAACACAATGCTGAGGTGACTAAGTGACCCTGATTCAGTTCCTGTGCTGCAGTGCTTTTAATCAAAATCATTTGTAAAAGAGTGTAATACGCAGATCCAATGGAATACTGAGTAAGTAGAACACTGGCCACACCAAAAAGAGAATGAAACCATTAGGATTGTTCCTCAACTTTAATGGTAAATAATCACCAGAAATAGATCAGACAAGATTTCCTGAAACGATCCAAATACTGAGGCGCTGCTTCCCTGTGCTCTAAACAGTGCCCTGTCGTGTTCTATCTCATCTGCTGTTTAATAGCCCTGACACACCCCTGATATCTGTGGTGAGATAGGTCAAATCACACAGGGGACCAGGAGGAAACGGATACTGCGGGTGTGAGGAAATACGGCAAGCAGGGGGGTGTTTGGGGAGGTGGGTGTGTGGGGAGGGGGGTGTTCAGGGGAGCTCATATTGCTGATCCCTCTTGAAAAGTGTAGCGGAACGGCAAAGGTACATAATGCATAATACAAAAAGATCTACAGGAAGCAATAAAGAAAAGCATGTGTAAAAAAGAGGGGTTATTTATAAGGATCATACATAAATCTTATTACTAATAATTCTGCTTAAACTCTTCCAAAAGACATTCTCTGGACATTTTCTGTGACAGAGTGTCATGCACACTTTAGAGGGACTTTTTAATTGTGCGGACAGAACGGACTGTACACAACCCACACAGCCCAGTAAGTGGCTTTGAGAATTTCCTCAGCATTTTCCCCTTCCACAGCTTGGTCTAACTACTAGAGATTATCTGGCTCTAAGATAATTGAAGACAGTGATGTAGAAACATTTGCAACTTTCTGGTTAACCCTGGGTCAATTGCTCTTAACTTTCCCTGCATGCACAGGGATTTAATTCAAATACAGCGCAAAACGCTGGACACCGGAAAATAAAAGTGATCTTTTATTTCTTCATTCTAGTTTAATCTTTCTTGTTAACCATCTGTGAGTTATAAACTTAAATCTGCAAAAATCCTGTGAAAAAAGGAATATGGAACCAAGGCCAACACTGAAATAAAGTGCAGAGCAACAAAGAACTGGCATAAATATAAAATTTTGCTTCTCAAGCTGAAACAAATTTGTTTTACATTTGACTTGGCAGCACAGGTTCTCGGACAGCAGCAGAGTGATGTTTGTTTCAAATCAAGTACGCTTTGATCATATTGTTAAACGAATACTGTTGACATTCTGTGAAACAAACAAACAACAGGTTCTAAAGAAGACTGTAGAATCATTTAAATGACATTTACAGGCTTGCAAGTATAAGTCCTGAAATTAAACTGCACTGTATGAAACTAAAACTGATTTCTACTTCTAAGCTGTTATTTAAGACAATATCATACAGGAGAGCATGTTTTTGCATGTTAAATTACATTTTTCTATGGGCTTTAACTAATATAAACAGATATTTCACATTTCTGCCAGAACAGAATATGTGGAAATTAATGTTAATAAAACAAAGTGAAAACGGACAATATTTATTCATGCAGTTATGATATTTAGAACTTGTATAATTCTGACAAAGAACAAAGAAAAAACTGTATCCACTTGTTAAAAACACATTATTTACGAGACTTATTACAGCTGTATTGTTTTTTAATCAAATGCATTTCTTAGTATTGACCGCAATAGGCCCACATATTTTTGTTTTCCCTGCATTGTGACTGCACGTTGTTGACCTATCTGTCCATGATCCGTTTCGTCCTGTATTCGGTAAGCAATACACTCATGAAGAAAGCTAATTTCATCAGGAAAATAGATTTAAAGCACACATTAATATATTTTACAAAAGGTTCATACATTTTTAAAAACTATTAATGGTTAACAACAAGTTAAACAATTAAGAATATATTTTAATTTTGATTTTTTTAAATTGCAAATATTATTTGATCATCGCAAGTCTTAAAGGTTACCATCATTTTTTGTTTTGCACTTACTCTTTTATATACTCACAAACTCATGAAGCCCGAAATATTATGGTAGTCTGTTCTTAACGGATTTTGCAGAACGCCAACGCGAATATTTTGATCATTTGTAAGATGCAGTTTAACTGAATGCTGTGGTATGATACGTTAAAATGGAAAATTCGCTTACAATAAATTCAGACCTTAAGAAATACAATAAATGTATAAAAAGGAAAAAACGATACCATTAATATATCTATTTTAAACTGTTGATATTAACCTCGAAAGATACGCTTGAGTATTAAACATGTTACCACAAAGACATGCTTATAAAAATGTGTCATAAGTACAATTCCCGTTTTGTTGTACTTATGACAGCATCAGTAAGTGAAGCGAACCATGATGCGTTAAACATAAGTCGAAAAAAATCTGCTTTTAGAGCTCGCAAAATAAAAATTTCACTCATTCTCGGACTGGTTGAAACCAGCATGCGGCCCTGCACGGTGTCTGTAATAATGGACTCGAAATCTTCCCCAGAAAACGCCTCGGGTCACAAGAACGTCTCGGTTTACACCTTTTTGTAAATAATAGAGCAATAATACTGCACTTCATAACATAAACTTGTAAAATTATATCTTAAACACTAAGCTAAAAGAAGCTTAAGCTTAAACACTAAAAGATCATGCAAATGGAGAAAAATTATTTGTTCTAACTGAACACTGTGTAACTAACTCGGCTGCAATGGTAAAACTTAATAAATATATAATATTTTATAGTAAATAAATACAATGAAATGCAGCTGATTAACTACAATTGTTTCTAAGGTAATCATTACAAATAAATCTATTTTAAAAGCGATTATAACAGTTTCTTCTACAGCATAATGGTACTAGTAATTATTAACTTCATTAATAATGAAGAGTATATGAACCGTATAACAACAGCAATTTAACCAGAAGTTATCCTTAAAAATAAAGACGTTTACTGTTAACAGATGAAGGTACGACGGCAATTGTGCAAACGATCCGGGTTAGTGACAAAACTCGATGTCTTTTATATTTTATTGTGATTATGGTACACACGTGTTGCCCGGTGAGGTTTTCCGGGGAAAAAAGTCTCAATGTCTGTGTACAACACAAAACAAATGCAATTTCTCATCTAATACCCAAAGGAAACAAGGAAACAAGAAAACTTAGATCCCGTACAGCTAAAGACGCACCAAAGACATATGTAGGATTTCGCATTGTAAAAAAGAATAATTCACCTCTTCTTGTTTTTCTCTTCGTTCGAATAGACGTGGAGATACACATGAACACACACGGTTTTGTCTGTTAAACGAAGACCCAGTATTTCTGTGAAACATCACATGCCCCCAGGAATTAACCACGGAAGATCTGAGATCTCAGTTAATGCTTCCGATCTGTCAAGAACTGCCTGGCAAGCACGAAACTTTACTGTATAAGGCGGTCTTAATTGTATTTTTAGTATAGATGCAAGTCAGCGATAAAGTTAACATGGGCTGTGTGACAACAATTTAAATAAATATCAAAAATGAAACCCACTAGTTTTCAAGATAAGCAAAGTTTTCTGTGTAAGATATTGCTTGGTAATAACGTTCAATCCGTTTTTCTGTGAAACAACAACTTATCTCTAGCTAGGAAGTAAGCAAACGGAAGTATTCCGTGTAGACAGTAGTGAAACTGCATTAACATTAGCACTTATAAATCAAATTCATGTATTTTTATTGAGAATAAATATTATCGTTGTTGTCGTTGGGGTTGCATTTTGTTTGTCATTGCTAACATTCGTTCTATCCATGGTGACCCCCCCCCCAAGGAGTGCGATACGTGATTTTTACTAATAGATGCAGCTGGTGCATGATCTGAAAGTTGGATTCCTGATCATGCGGTATAACAAAGACAATGTAACAAAGCAAAGAACACATTACTGGTAATATCTACTTCAGAACCAGAAAGAAAACATTCACATTGTCAATAAAATGCATGTGAGGAAAGTTAAAAGAAATGACGATTAAAGTTGCACTTACTGCTTATGGTATGTCTGTGCCTCGACTGGTTGGGAAGCAGGCTCTGTCCATTGATTAAAAGTATTGAATCCAGGGCTGAAGTTCTGTTTGCTTCAGGCAGGCTGAAATCTGCTCGACTTGGAGCTGAAAGCTACTTCTCTGCGCGCCTGACGTGGGTGTGAGGGTGTATGATTGAGTGCGAGAAAGGAGGGAAAGATAAGACAGATGTAGCAAGAGTGAATAGGAAAGATGAAGAGAGAGAGAGAGAGAGAGAGAGAGAGGGAGAAAGAGAGAGAGGGAGGGAGAGAGAGAGAGAGGGAGAAAGAGAGAGAGGGAGGGAGAGAGAGAGAGAGAGAGAGAGAGAGAGAGGAGCCGGCCAGTATTCCGGGATTCGCTGGCTGTAGTGCGTCTGGATTTTATAGGAATTCACGCCGGTGCACCTCAGGCCACAATTTAACAAGGGTAGAGCTCGCTTCTTTTCACACTCATTTTTCTTGTTGTGTTTCCTTTAAAGTGACCGGGAAGCGATATGTCCTCCAGTTCTTCTGTCCTCCTCCTGGACTTGTGGACTTCTACCTTCACAAGCCGGTGAAAAGAGAACAGATCACATTTGCTGGAGGCGTGAAAATTCAGAGACAAGACGAATTGTTAACTGAATACTCTTCGGAAGAGCAAATAACTGGTTCAGATTCTTCATCCAGCTCTAATGTTCGGACAGAAGAATGAATATTTAACTCTCAATCTCTTCCCCGCCAACGGGAGCGCTGACTGACAGCCAGATCATGAGAAACGGAGCAGAGGAGGAGACAAAGGGGAGGGGATGAAAGGACTGCGCGAGAAGAGAAGGAGAGAGAGAGTGAGAAGCCTCAAAGCAAATTATTCGTTACAATTAGCAAATGGTGTCCATTTATTTTCGTAAAATCATTGAATATGCGGCCGTTCTGATAAAAAAAGAAGCACTTTCAGCAGACTAAGCACTTTCTCAAGCTCCGATTTTCGTACAACTTCTGTTATATACGGTTACCCCGGAAAGTACGCCAGTGTTAAAACGACGCTGTAGTAACAGGAAAGCAAAAACCTGATCGGTAATTAAAATACTTACAGTTAGCGTGCCAACTTCTGTAACAGCATGACGTTTTTGGATCTGATTATTGTATATGCTGACATTTAAGTCCACAAACATCCATAATAAATCCGAGGTCTGCGTTAATGAGTAATAAGCGAGGAATAAAAATGCAGTGGTTCTCTCTTGCTCATCCGACTGTTTTATTAGATGACTTATGTAAATAAACCTAGTGCACCGTCAGGTGAAATTAGTTAATAATAAACCACACTCTTGATAGACAGATGTCAGGGCCTTTTAATAATTTATGAGGCTAACTTTAAGCAAAAAAAGTTCTACTCTGCTAACAGCGGCGGAATATGAATGCTGGTATTACAGACAACCTACCATTTACGCATTTGACTGTCCTCATTCCCTTAATTTTACTTTACACTGACAATAACCAAAAGCTGTTAAGCACGAACCTTGATATAGGCTAGTTTAGAGTCGCCAGACATCTCCCGTTATATGTAAATTTGCTGTTTTACAGATAATTCTCAACATTATTTTGCTTACTACGATAAATAAAAGTAAAATGCAAAAAACCCAGTTGAAAAAATTTTAAGCACCTGAAAAAAAAAATCAATAACGTCGTTTAGGGTAATACCGTTATTGGTATACATGTGTGAGGAAGTAAATGAATATGTAAAAAATACTTTTTAAATTAAATTAAGACACAGCAGAATTGTCTTTCAACATTGTCCAAAATTTAAATAATCAATATTATTTAGAACCAGACCATCAAATATATAACCAAACCATTATATATTCTCATTGCCTAATGATGAATTCGGGAATCAAGCATTGGTGCGCAGTACTGAATGGAGAAAAGCATCGAATAAGTATGTACCTTTGACAGGACAGCCAAAAGAGAGTTTGTCCATAGAAACTGATGAAATTGTTCAAAAGGAAGGCGATAAAATCGTAAAAATTACCCTCGCGCCATCCCTAGTTAACCAATAATGCCGAAATAATACTAGTCAAATACATAGTTAAAGAAATCAACAGTTGACTACCCTCATGGGCTAAATTAACGGAAGGTTGAGAGGGTGACACTTTCAAGATATCTTTTTTATTGAAATGAGATTTAAAAATTATATTTTGCTTTCTTTTGTATCTGGACTTTTAATCTTTGAAGAAAGGTTCGATATACACGCGACAGGATCAGATAGGCAAGTCTGGATTCTGAACTGTACTATATAATAACATATTTAAATGAGAAAAATAACGTTTCGGATCACACGCAGAATGGGTATTTAAGTTCAATTAACCTTACCTTCGCTCGGAAGAATATTAAAAAATATTAATTCGCAACCGCGACAAAAGTAAGCGTTGACCGCAGGCAAATTGAACAAGACGAGAATGCTTTGTTTTGCTGGGTAGGGGCAAGTGGTCTATGCAACTTAGTCTTCAGTTCCCACATATGATAATGATGATGTAGCATTCTGTAGGTTCACGTAACCTATGCGCACTGGTTTTACGGGGAGTGTTGTTTAAGTGATGTTAACGTATCATTTTAAGATATAGGCCTAACAGAAATTGTGAAATAAATAAAACTTTATTACCTGAGAATGGAGGTGCAAGCGATGGTGTCAATACTTCAAACGCAAAGAATTAAGTTTTTTAGCCGTTAAAAGAACAATGTTAAGTCGTGTTTATGATACGACTTTGAAATAAAATGCAGTAGACGATAAGACATTCATCCACGTACATTTTTGTGTTTATATAGTTTAAATTTAGTATAGTTTTGCCGTTACTTATAAACTGAAGGAAATAGCTGAAAAGTACAATTGCCATTCCAGCAAAATATGAGTACTGATGTGTGGAGAAGCTTTAAAAGTACTTTTCTATGGCATAAAAAGTAAATAGTTGTACATAACACCGAAGATGGTTTTGCCTGTATATTTACAATTGCGATGCTTAGTCTTGGGTAGGCTATAATAGGGACAAGTAGGGATATAGTCGTTGAGCAAATTCCTATAGCTTCGAAATTCAATGTACAATGTAAAGCATAAAATTCAAGTGCATATATTGTATAAATTAAAACAATGCTCACTTTATTACTTATTCAGGATGTCCTAGTTTTCAGCACCGGATGTCATTCTCGCCTTATTTAAGAAAAAAAAACCAAATCGTTCGAAAATTCATGTACTTGTGGTTCCTTATAAAATTGCAACACTTTCCTTTCCGTTTTGTATAATTCATTAAGCTTTGCGAAGTGCAAAGTTAACCTAATAGGTCTGCATCCATGAATATCATATAGCTACACTTGATAAAAAATGGCATGTAAAAAGCAAGATAAGAATGTCCGTTTTCTAAAGAATTTTTCAGACCGTTTCCTAAACACTGGATTATATCAACATGAAATTAATTATCTCTTGTTAATAACATTGTAGCATGCAGACAAAACTTATTTTACTCTGTACGTTGAATATACATATATCAACTTTAATAAATAAATACAAGTCATACATAAGTTATTTTCTGACGTGTAGTTTCAAAGAAGCGCGATAATTTCGGACGACTGCTTCTGGAAGACACATCTCGGCGAATTCAGCAACCCGCGCGCTGTGCAGGTAAGGCGTGCGGAGGCAACTGACAATCCACGCAAATAAACACAAATGCATGTTCCGTGGCCGATGGAGAAAGGCTCGGATTTAAGTGCAAAAAAAAGGAAAAAGGTGCTAGGGACATACATATTTTCAACAATAAACTTACGACCTAATATAGGCTACTTGAACGACCCAATGTTTGATTCGCTTATTTTGCAAAGGCTCAAACTAATCTATATATTTTATTTTTCAATAACAAAATAAAATCCATTTCAACCTAGGTGTGTGTGCGTGCGCGCGCGTGTGTGTGTGTGTGTGTGAGAGAGAGAGAGAGAGGTCAAGAAACTGAACCCTACCGTTTAGTAGCAGCCTTTCAACTAATATATTTATTAATTTTTCTGTTTAATTACAGAACGTCTCTGTTGTGTCATTATTTTTAAGATTATTTGAGAAACAAAAACTAGATAAGTCCTCAGATGCAAAACGTCTACAGAAAGCTTACTTCATTTAGCAAAAAAGAGCAAAAGTATTTTAAAAAGCTGACAGGTAGTTGTATGATCTTAACTATTTATTAAGCGCAGTAAATCGGTGAAAGGACATTTCAGATGACCGCGTGAAATATTTTTGGTCTTCTTAATATATTGATTTAAAAAATAAAATATGCTGCAGCATAATACATGCTAAATTCAGCATCTTACAGTTAAAACAGTGGTTCTGTACCTTTACCTAATTATTATTATTATTATTATTATTATTATTATTATTATTGGAACGCCCTCCGCAAGCAGTCCCAGGTTGCTAGACCAGTAAAAGACCAGGAATTACTGCGGAGCTCCATATTTAAAACTTATTCTATGTCACCTTGAAGTACTTGCTGCATCACTAACGTCTTTAAATCTAACTTTCTTCTGGCATCCTAAGTTACTGGATTGTACTGGAAATGATCTGGTGATCTTACACAGACAAAAATCGTAGAGCTCATTTAACTGTAAAATGTCAATGAAATAATTTGAGAAGAATGCATCTGGAACATATCAACCAGAAATTTATTGTTTTTCATCCAACTCTGCTATATTCGATGAGCGAAGGACGCCACCCTAAAACACTCCAGTTACACAGGACAATGTAAAACTATTGGTCCAGTTAAATGTGTATGTCCATGACTTCAAAACCAAGCGTCGTGTGCACTAAACGTTTTTGCTTTACAAAAATCTATCACTTGACGTAGAAACAGCACCCTCCAGTGGTGATCACACATATTCGAAACGCCCGTAATGCTGGCTGTCAAGTAAGCTCATATATGGAAACACTATTTTCTGGAGACAAAAGCATGTCAAACTTTTTTTTTTTTTCAGCTAACAGCTCAGTCATAAAATCAGCAGAAACGAGGATTTAGTTGAGCAGTAGTGGTCGCCGCGTTTAGTATCTGTCTTGAATGGCATTTGGAAGATTAAACAAACATGGGCGTCGTTAGGTCCGTTCAGTCTGGGCTATAGCCCGGATTATTTTAAGACTATATCCCCTTGTATTTTAGCCCCGATGCCAATCTTCCTTCAAGAAAAAAAAAAAAGTCAAGCCCCTGGTCAACTTCACTTAGCCCCTGATCTTTCCGATAGATATAGAAACTCCCCTGGTCACGTTTTTGCCTTTATCCACACATCTACATGAAACAGTCCGTAAATCAGCATATTAAGTTATTTTTTAAATGGAATCATAGAAGTATACAATATATTAATGCAAATGTACGGCATTAACATGTTTAATATTTGTGTGCGTTTCCCCTCCTGGGTGTACCCCATTCTTCCGGGGATGGGTCTCGTGCTTCCCCGGGCATCTCACCATTATAAGATGTTGGAAGACGCACGGATGGTTGGATGATATAATCCCTATTACATGTCATTATATGTAATATGTCGTTTTATAGAAATTATCAGAAAAGAAAGTGACATAAATGTTAAGTCCAAATGTTACCGGATTAAATATATGAATGTATAATCGTTTGAAAGTAGTGGGGTTCTTTTAATTTATCACGTCATGTTTCACGATAATGCTATATAAAATTTTCATTAAATAAATTAAGTTATACTAAACGCCTATAGGCGCGTTATAGTCGCGATTATCGATATACTTGCCAATTTCCAAAAGTGAAATCTATATAAAATTCTTTCATGAAAACATATATTTATGCTAGCAATATTTTCAACAACGGAACAAATTTTGAATTAATTCGTAAAGTTCAATAAGAAAAAAAATCAGAAGATTAAACAATTATGTTTCTTTAATAGCTATCAAGAATGCTGAAATCAAACTACATGCTGCATGGCCTGGGGTCCTATTCAAAATTCCGAGTACTCTTTCTTATCACTTTAGCGTTTTCGTTGTATTTAGAAAACGCACTTCTCAAGATATGAAGAATATATGTATCCTCAATGTTTTTTTTAAATGACATAACTGTTTAAATCTAAGTCAAAATGTAAGAAGCAATTAAACTAAATATGATCCCGGTATTAAGAATTACAAACTTCAGTACAGAATACATAAATGTATTTTCGTGTGGACTGTTAATTGACAATGTCTATTAGTTCATAGGCTACTTTAATAGGCTGATACAATCAATTTAATTTAAAAAAACGAATCTATCAAAATCTTAC